GAAATTCAAAAGTTCCATGCAAAGAGCATGGAAATCGGTAGTGGTTATCACAATAGGGGGAATCTTTTCCTTCTTGGCATTAAGCCGGGAAAGTTTACTAGAATTTTTCTTGGATGATGGATCATTCTCATCATCCGTGAGCAAATCAAATTGATTACTCAAATTAATTTCATCAGAAGGGGGGTCAAGAGTTTGCCCCTTTCTTTTGCGTTTAGGCGCCATGGCGGCAGTAAATTTTTATCCAAATCGACTTCCAAGCAGATTACTATAAGAATCTGAAGGATCGAAGAGGAATTTTCCAAATCGATATCCAAGAAGGATTACCTCGGGTAGGGTCCAAACAAGGATCGAAGAGGAATAAAGTTGAACAAGGTAGAAAATTTTTACAGGTTGAGCACTGAAAAGTGCTGTTTAGATTTGTTGTAGCTTTAGGTAGTAGTAACACTTCCTTCAGCAAAAAGCAAATAGATCCGCACGGCAAGAGAGCACGATGCGGACTCTTGATAAAAAAAAAGCCCCTTCTTTTGAGCTTAGCCATTTCATGATTAATCCACCCAGCAAGTACATGAAAAATTTACTTTTTTTGTTTGTCGAGATAGCAAAATGGTGTCTAGAGCAAAGTTTTAGACAATATCAAAACAAACATTTTTGCTCAAGACGTCAACCCTCTATCTCTTATGTTTACAGAGATATGTTATTTTTTGGTAAGAGCCTTATGAAAATCAATTTTTTCCTAATAACTTTTCAGGAAGCAATTTTTTGACATTAGTATTTTGTCACTGTTTCTTATGACTTCCGTAAAGCTGACCACCGTAGCATCATAGATGTATTGTCTAGCATGGTATGGGAGAACATCCTTAATCCAGATGACGTTGAGGCTGCAGCGCAAACCTTTTCACATGTCTTGGCATGACACGTCCCGAAAAGAACTCACCACAAAGTGTTTCACCATCCCTGGCGAGAGACGAGAGAGCTACGTAGGTTGAAGTTTATCAAGAGAGCAGCATTGAGAAGATTTACGAAGCATCGCACGCTTCCTCTGAAACTACATTATGTGAGGCTGAATCACATGTACCAGCGAGTCAGTCGTGAATGCTTTTCAAATTTCCAACGAGGCATCCAGCGCAAACTTAAGCTACACCCGAAATCCTTTTGGAACTACGTGAACGAGCAACGCAGGGAATCCGGCCTCCCATCGTCTATGGAATTCAACGGAGAAGTTGCTGCCACCGTTCAGGATATATGCCACCTTTGTTCCGAAAAGTTTGTCAGTGTATTCACTAATGAGACACTAACTGACGACCCTATTAACCTGGCTGCCAGGAACGTTCCAGTTAACGATCAAACGCTGGGTGCAATTGATGTTAATGCAGAAATGATTTCTAAGGCCGCGACTCTGCTCAAGTCATCCTTCAATCCTGGACCTGATGGAGTTCCATCTGTATTTTTGAAGAGACATATTGCTGATTGTACGACTTTTCCCCGAAAACCAGTCCCCCGAAAACCAGTCCCCCGAAAACCAGTCCCCCGAAAACACTTTCCCCGGAAAACATTTCCCCGAATGTAACTTTTCCCCGAAAAACATTTCCCCGATTGGAACAGTTCCCCGAAAATAATTTCCCCGAATGTACCATTTCCCCGAATCTGCAAATCTTCGCTGGTTAACTACTTGTTCCGAACAATACCACAATAAACATATTAATGTGTGTCGAATAAAGACAACAGGTCGTATGAATAAAAGCGTTTACTTTACTTTTCTTACGGGAAAGTAAAGTAAACTCTTTTTATTCATACGGCCCAATAGTTTGACTTTCGTTAAAACAAAATGTAAAGGTCAAGATCCATAAATCGGTGTAATCGGTGTAATCCGGTTCTTTAACATTCCCCAGAAAACTATTCCCCAGAATGCACCATTCCCCAGAGAAAAAACCCGAATTTATCCACCTATGGTGTGATTCTTACTTATTCAAGTTTATTTATTTTATTGTCATTATCAGTGACCAAGCCCCCCACCCCCGTGTCATCCAGTGACGCTACGCCACTGCCTGGGGGTACCCGGAATATATCCGGGTGTAGTCTATTTGGTGAGGCTACCAATCACCTTATCATCGTATTTTAATGTGATTTAATGGGTTTTAATTCAATTCATATTCAAGCAACTTCCCCGGGGTACCCGGAACATGTCCAAGTGTGTCCAATGTGGTCTGGAACACTTAACACGACTTGCATTGATCTTATTTTTGAATTCTGTAGTAATTTGATGTGTCGCATGATGGTTTTGATACGTTTTCCGTTAAATCCAGCGTGAAGGCCCATATTCACCGGATCTTATTCCGGCCATATCTCCGGAACCGGTTCACCGATTCCAAAACCGTTCAATAGCGTTCAATGGGACCCCAAGACCTATCATTTGGCGCCGAGTTTGTCCAAATCGGTTGAGCGGTTGCTGAGAAACGTGAGCGCATTTATTTCGTTACATACACACACACATACACACGTACACACACACTCACAGACATGTTCCGATCTCGTCGAGCTGAGTCGAATGGTATATGACACTCGGCCGTCCGGACCTCGGATCGATAGTCGGTTTTTCAAGTGATATCTATACCCTTCTTTGTAAGAAGGGTAAAAAACATTCCCCAGAAAAGATGATGAAATTAGTAATTTTTACTTTTCTTTTTTTTTTACTATTGATAATACACTATGTTTACTTTTAAGGAACTATGTATTTATCAATTCCAAACCATTTTTCAACTCTTTATAAAATGACAACCTTCAAGTTGTCGAGCACTTCGTTCATCATTTAATAAGTCAAAGGGTCTATTATGCAATCCAATTCAACCAGTCGGAAACTGTTAAACCTTATCGAAGAATTGTTCGACCTGAGTTGAAGAATTTCTCGTGATGGATTAAAAAATCGGTGCATGGAACGTTGAACTACCGATTACAAATTTATAGCATTATTCCACTCGTTATTATCCCAAATGGTCATTACCCCGAATCCCTTACAAAAAGCTATTGATTATATATTTTCTTTATTTATTAAAAGAAGGGGATATTCCCTTCTTTTTATCATACATCCAATGAATTAATTATTTTCTCTTTTAAATATTCAAAGAAGGGAGTATTCCCTTCTTTATCGTTTGTCCAAAGAATTAATTATTTCCTTTTCTTATATTTTCAAAGAAGGGAATATTTCCTCCTTTATCATATATTTAACGAATTAATGATGTTCTCTTATATATATTCAAAGAAGGAAATACTCCCTTCTTTAACGTATATCCAAATAATTAATTCTTTCTTTTTGTTATATTTTCAAAGAAGGCAATATTCTCTTGTTTTTCATATTGTTTACATATTTAAAGTAGGGAATATTCCCTTCTTTATCATATATTTAACGAATTAATTATGTTCTCTTTTAAATATTAAAAGAAGAGCATATTCCCTTCTTTATCGTATATCGCGGTATATTATATATATTTACAAAGTTTTTCTAGCGAAGTCTTCATTATGAAATTATTCGATAGGAACCATTTTGTTCGTGCACTTAACACACTGGTCAAACAAATACGAATGCAAGGTTTTAACGAAGGCCGTCGCCAAATGTCATAACAAGTCATAGGGGCTTATTACGGATGTCACTTGTCGTCACGGTGAAGTGATTCCCATTTGATTTGTACGGTAATCACGGCTCTTATTCTGAGTATCACTTGCTTATCAGCGTGTAGTGACACCCGTAATAAGGCCCATAACCACAAACTTTATCTGGGGTGTGGAACGACTTTGTACTGTTTATCAATATTCAGCAGAGATATTTTTCTGAATTTCATATAGATAAGTTGTAACAAACCCTAGGATCATATTTAAATAGATCGTACAGTGTAAATTGTATCTTTCGGGGAAATAGTTTTCGGGAAAACGTTCCTTTCGGGGAACTGGTTCGTTCGGGGAATCGTATTTCGGGGAAAAGTCGTACAATCCATATTGCTAGCTTGTTAATTCCGCTTCTTCGCCTGTTCCGAATGTCTCTCTCAGGTGCGCACATGTTTCCCGTCCACAAAAAAGGAAGGAAACGAGCTGTGGATAAATATCGAGGAATTACATCGTTAAGTGCCGTTTCGAAGCTATTCGAGCTAGTGATTATGGAACCGTTGCTGTCCCATTGCAAGCAGTATTTGAGTGCTGATCAACATGGGTTTACTGTCGGCCGCTCTACAACCACCAATCTGCTGTTTCTCACATCGTATAGAACCAAAAGCATGTTATTTATTCAGACCTATCCGCAGCATTCGACAAGTTGAACCATGCTATTGCGATTGCTAAACTCGGCAGGCTCGGTGTATGCCGTCATCTTCTGAGTTGGTTTCGATCATATCTTACCGGTTGGCAACTAAAGGTTGCCATAGGAGATTGTAGATCAGCTTGCTTCTTCGCCACATCGGACCGTTATTTTTTATACTGTACTTCAACGACGTGCATCTGGTCACCGAAGCTCCTCGGTTATCATATGCAGATGACCTCAAAACCTTCCTACGAATTTGCTCCATTGCTGACTGTCACTTTCTTCAACGTCAACTGGCCTTGTGTTTCACATCACGAAAAAACAAACAATCGCAGCTTACTCTATGACCGGCACACTGAGACAAAAGTTGACCAAAGATTGGTGTGCGGAGTGAACTACCCCTTGGTTGTGGGTATTTTTAGTAGATCTTTGCCTGCTCCGTCTGATTGCTCTAAGATCCCCATTTGTTTACATGTATCTAGTTTCGCCCTAACTATGCACCAATTAAAAATCTTATACGTTTTGGAATAAACGGTTACATTCAGCTCTACCAATCTCATTCCCGGACAAGTAACCAATGACCCAAGTTTGTGATGAAGTGACTTTAATAATAATATAAACAATGTTGACCGATTCTTGACAGTACTCGTCGAAGGTGCAATGTGGCAATTTCGGATAACACCAAAAACCACCTCAACTAGAAAAAAATTAACATTACCGACTTTATTAGAACAGTCAATCACACGCTTCAAATGGCAGCATAATTAATCATCGGCCTAGCAATGACACGAATACCTACCAACGTTTATCAAAACAGTCTGTATCACAATTTAAGCACTCATCATTGTCCACACACCTCCTTGATCTTGGCGTGGAACTGTGCCTCATGCTCACCCTTCACAAATCGCTGCATCGCTCGCAGCAGATAGTACAGCTCAGGTCGATCAAACGCATCCAACAGTCCGGCGATCAACCTGTCGAAATCCCGGTCGTTCTTGTAGTTGGTCAGGGCAGTCAGAAACGATTTGTACTTGGCCATACAGATGGAGGACTTGATCACCTTTAGCAGTTCCACGCGATCCTCCGGAGCCCGCCGGTTTGGATCATCCTTGCTTTCACCTCCGTCGCCGGCGTCGTCGTCGTCATCCGTGCTGGTGAGGTTGATGGTTTGCTGGGGAATCAGTACCAGTTTGCGTTTCTTCTGCGTCGTTGGTGGCTGACTGAACCCCACGACGGGAGGGGATAAAGATGTTTCGGTGGATCGTTCCCGCTTGTGGATGGTTACCTGGGACGAGCTGGGCATTGAGTACGTGGTCATGTCATTAAAATCTATCGTCTGAACTTGGGTGTTCAGTCGGCTGAGGAAATTTTGCGGAACGTCCGACGAGCTTTGGCCGTGTTTTTGCTGATAGTCGGATAGTTTGAACGTCGAGACTTGATTGGAGTTTTCGATCCGAACAAAGTTGTTCCGGATGTCCTCGAGTTTCCGTTTGATGTCGGGGTTTACGACCAACGCCCCTGGAATGGTGAATTCCGGTACGGGTGCCGGTTCTTGTACGAGTTGAATGATGTTTCGGGACAGTTTGGACTGGGGAAGAGATTTTTCAGCGTTGCGGAAGAACCGCGATAGCTCTCCGATAATAGGACCAAAGTTTTGGTGCTGACTTTGGTTCAGATGGCGCTGAATCCACGCGGATAATTGCGACTTTTGGCGATGATTGTGGAACCGATTGTCGCACAGCAGAATTGCACCGTAGTCGTTTTTGTGACGGATTACACGGCCGACGGCTTGATTAACTGCGCGGGCTGCTTCCAGCGAATACCTAACGGAAAAGAGAATCGACTTATGATAAGCTTGATAGGAAATTATTTCAAATAAACTTACCACTCGTCACCGGAAATGATGTCGTTTTCCTTGGTTCGGACTTCTTGGAGGTACTTTTTCTTAAGAATCACCCGGGCGTCCTTCAGTGGTGGAAACGGCAAACCGGTGATGATCACGGCCCGTCCATTCATGTCGGCAAAGTCCAACCCCTCGGATACTTTCCCCCGACAAACGGCCATAAAGACTGCACCCTTGCCATCGGGATCGTTAATTCGCTGATAATACTCGGTCATTGTGTTGAGAAACTGCTCCTTTCCGCGTGCTTCCACAAAGATCGGTTTGGTCCGACTGATTTGACCCCAAATGCCAGTCTCCTGCCACGATTCCTGACACTTGTGCAGCAGCGGATAGGACGGGAAGAATACCAGTAATCCTCCGGGAATGATGGGACAAAACGATAGAATCGTTCGACCCAAGCTCTGAATGTACTTCGGATTGTCTCGATTGCCGTAGCTCGAGTTGAGGCTCTCTTTGTCCGGCCCTTGACCTACAATCTTAACGCACACCTGACTACCATCGATAATGTGCGGGTTCTCCAGTCTCACTGCTATCGGAATGTCCAATTCACTGATGAGGGGCTTCAGTGGAGCTAAAGTGCCGCTGGTTAGAATTATGCTTCTGGCGTTTCTACCCAGTAGCTGTCGCATGCCGAAGCCCGGATTGAAGCACCAGAAACTCAACACCTTGGCATTGGCCTTGACCGACGGAACCAGCTGCTTTGTTGCCGTCCATCCATCCGCTTGCTTCACATTCCCTCTGTTTTTCCGTTGTTCTTCGATTTCGATGTGCACCTTGTAGCACTTATCGATCGAAGCACGGTACTCCGGTCCACTACCAGCGAAAATGATCGACAACACGTCCGCTAGGATCTGCAATCCACCTCCACGTCTAACAAAATTATTCTTCTCGGTGATGGTGGCAATGTATTGAATGATGTTATCCAGCAGTTGCGCGATGATGTGGTAATTGCCCTCCTTGATCTAAAAAAAAAGCAAAACCATTCAAATCAAAATCCTAACCACTCCAATCCCTGACTCCCCCACATACATTGGCCTTCTCGAATATGTCGAAAATGTACGTCCCAGCAAACGTATTCCCACCCTGGGAAAACATTACCGGAATGTCGTCCACCGTCTTCTCCAGCTGCAGCAACATCTCCTTGAGCAGTGCAAGATCGTCGATGGTGAAATCCTTCTTCGATTCGTCATCCTCCGGAATGGCCACCGAGTTATCCATCACCTTCATAATCGAAGTCACATCATCAATGCACAGCGCAATGTCTGAGGACTTGATCTGCGTTGATGCCGATTCCTCGCACATCTTCTCCACATTGTGCGCCTCGTCCAGAATGATGATCGTATTGGAAATCTCTAAATTGTTCGCCTTTCGTGCCTTCGGATCCAGTAGATAATTGTACGGCATAAACAGAATGTCCGCACTCTCGATCAACTCCTTCGATAGGAAGAAAGGACAGGCCCGCACCTTCGTGCCCACCTTCACCAGATCCTCGATGTCCGTGATAGCATGCCCCACAACCTCGGGTCTTTCCTTACAACTCTCCACCCGACTGTAGAATGAGCACGTCCTCGACTGGACCTTCGCCTTACACAGATTAGTCTTGACTGAATTCCCATCCTCCTTCGATACCTCCGGATGGATACAAAGCTGATCTCGCGAACCCAGCACCACACCCTTCATAAAACTGTAGCTCGTATTCTTCATCTCCTGCATCACCTGTGTCAGCTGAGAATGCGTCCGCGATGCGTACACAATCTTCGGAACGCCCCACTTTGCTCCCTCCGCACCACTTCCTTCGTTCAACTTGTCCAACATTTGGTCCATCTCCGATCCCTCTCCACCAAGCTTCTTCCGCTGGACCATTTCAAACTCCTTCAAATCAGTAATATTTGTCTTCATATTAGCCTGAACCTGGGCCTTCTTGTGAAGCACCCACGCTAGCGAGGAACATAACAGGCTGAGCGTTTTTCCGGTACCGGTCGGGGATTCCAGCACACCGTTGGTGCTATTCTGCAGACACTCGATCACTCGGGTCATGTAGTCCTGTTGAACCTGGTACGGTTCGAACGGGAAGTTGACCAGAATGCCGTTAATCTGGAACTCCGGCATGGTCACTTTCGCGGCGTTTAATGCAAGTAATTGGACGGCGCGCTCAGGGAACCGACAGGAAAATTCATGGAAAACTGTAAATAAAAACCGGACTTATCTCAACGACGGGCGGGAAAACTGTTCGCACGTTTGACACTTTCTTTTGGGCAATATTTTGGTGGGGGGTAGGAATTTCGAAGACGGTTTACTGAATGCAAGGGGCGAGCAGACGGGGTTGATAGATGTCGTACACCAATGAGGTACAGAGAGAGGTGGCGCAGATCGTGAAATAGAGTTGTATTAGTAAACCAAAAAATCAACATAAACGCAAGTAGTGACGTCACTACTTGCGTGTATTGCGTGTATCGTACAGTGGTTGTGTGAGTGATTGCTTCACCTCGGTAATCCAGCTCATTGGTCGTACACGGGGTTGATAGATGTCACACACTTTCATCTCGATTTTGAAATCAAGGTTTTAAGCAATATAATAACTTAACTGTTTGACACTAAACTGACGAACTGACAGCTCGCTCCCATACAAAGTGACACCGAGGGGCGCTAATAAGGCGATTTTTGCAAATGTAATCGTTCTTATTTAAAATAGTTCCAGTGTACCAAAATTGATGAAAATTTGGGTTTGGGTTCCATTTTTAATGCAGATTAGAAATACTCAGAGGGAGAGATAAGCGGAAGGAATGTTTTGAGCCAAATGAACTGTCAAAATCTGAGCCAATCGAACATTCCCATTAGAATTTTTCTTATGCTTACTAGATTAAATTTGAGAGTATTACAATCGAACAGAAATTCAATCTCCTTTATGTTTCCGTGTGTTTCTCAAATTCAACTAGTTCTTTGAATAAAAAACAAAATTCTAACTCTATTGATTAATTGATTTAAGTTGGTTAATTACTGGCACAAAGAAATGTGCAAAATATTGCGATGTAATCAATTATTAATTTGCACGTAAACCGAATAAAAAGTAACAGTCATGTGAAATGCTAGCTTCTAGCAAAGGTTGCAAGATTATTTAGGTACAAATCCCTGCTGCCGAATTGTGTTTTGTTTTCTCCGCCCATCTCTCCCTCTGAGTATTTCTAATGCAGATTACGAATATGCATTTACCTCAATACCCTTAAAGAACCCAATTGTCTCTCCGCAGAAAACGATGTCTGTATTCGGTATTATTTTGGCGTCTTTGCAGAACAAGATCGCTTGCGTCTTCTTTGAATTAACCACTTCATTCGAGCTCTTAAAATGACGTTTACTACCACTAGAAATTTGAAATAAAACATTATTTTGAGATTTTGACTTCTAGAACCTCGAGAAAAGTAGCCAAGTAGTAGTAGTAGGCAAAAGAGAAAAGAAACCAAAGGCAAGCCACTGCTCGGAAGAGGTCCTGCTGGTACTGCACCAAAATAAACGGCACATGGTGACGAAAGTCAATCCATGTTTACGATCGAGGTACACACGTGTACTGCTCAGCCTTGTGCCGACAACCAAAGCCGCAAGCCCAAGCCTAGTAAGGCAACCGTACGTACAGTACACGAATGCCTGCCGATAAGAATAGACTTTTACGCTTTTACTTTCTCTGCCGCTTCTCCGTTTAAAGGGGCATCATATCATGCAGCGCGCTAGGCATGCACTTGAACCGTGCGTAGAGCGAAGGGCATCTGCTCGATAGGGAAATGAGGATAGAGCGCTAGCCCATTAAAAGGTCGTTAAATACTCGATACGTTTTGGTACGGCCGAGTACTAGAAGAACGATACCTCAATGAGCAAGGGCGCATTTATAGAACCAGCTAGAAGATGTTAGGGAACTTTAAGAAGTACATTGTTTAAGAATTGTAGCGCGGGATGATCACACGCATCGCCCGACTCCCGAAATTAGAAGAAAGGTAATACAATTCGAGACGTAAATAAAACCGTATCGTCACTTAGGCGATGCATGGAAGGCCATAGGACTTGTACGTAGGGACTTGAGCGTATGTGAATTAGACCCTTGCATAGCAGCAAAGCGCACATGCGCACGATGTACCAACGTCTAAGTTCTAGGCCCCAAAACTCCTATATAAAAGGAACATTTTGAAAATAAAGATTCAGTTTTTGTGTTACGTTCATAGGGAACTCATTTCATCCGAAACCTTTTCGGTCTGGCCACAACCCAAGTTGGTAATCTGTTGTGAAAAGGTTAACTCCGGGAGCGTCATACCAATAATCAATACGAAACTAACGATTTTAAATTGGATCACTACTTGACTAGCCTATTGGTCCCAAGCAAACGATTAACGTACCCCATTCTAGTCGAAATTCTAGTACTACGCAGTTTTTGTTTTGATTCGCTATGAAAGTTTGACAGATAAAATGAGGGGTTAGTGGATTTTCCTATGTTTCGAGGGGTGAATCGATTAGCTTGGACCCGATGAGAGTACCAGAGCTGAGCTAAAATGTTGAGCACGTTATATCGGGACCTTCTAGTCTTATAGTTACCTCTATGGTCATACTGCCACCCCTAAGACTGGCATGTAGCGCCGGATAGCTTTTTCTCAGAACCCAATCTTGAGTTTAGCAGAATAACTTTGGATCACTGATCTACAGAGTTACACTAATAGAATTCATCACATTTTTATTGGCGAATTTCCATGTAAAATTCCACATGATTTTCATGTAACCACACATAAACAGAATCCACCTAGAAGCACACATGAAATTTATGAGTTAAATGAATAGTATGTGTGGTTACACATGGCTTTTATGTGTACACAAATTAAGTATGTGTCCGACAAATAGATATTAGATGCTAGATCTTGTCCTGGCAAATTATTCCGCACTACCGGGCACTTCTGTTTCCTTGCCGGTCCACTGATTGATCTAGATGCCGATCACCCCACTCTCGTCGTGTCATTTAGTTTACCTACGCCGTCATCTGAGTGCTACTCTTTGGACTTTCGCCGGGCCGATTATGTTGCATTGAACAATGCGCTTGCAGAAATTGATTGGCAATTTATCGAAACAGCCGCTAGCGTGAATGATGCAGTGGATTTTTTCAGTTCTGCACTGGAAGATGCTATTTTCCGCTTTGTCCCAGCTCGACGACCTCCGCTAAAGCCTGCATTGTGTAACCCACGCCTACACGTGCTAAAACGTCAACGCTCTGCCACCCTCCGAAATTATTGTAACTCTCGCTCGCCGTACTACAAACGGCTCTTCAATTTTGAGAGTCGTAGATATCGAAATTACAATCGTTTTCTCTATAATCGACACGTGAGACGCACGGAAGCGAACCTTCGCACGAATCCGAAAAGTTTTTGGTCGTTTGTCAACTCCAAACGGAAGGAATCCGGGTTGCCTTGTTCCATGTTTCTCGGGAATGACTCGGCTAATAGCGAAAGAGAAAAATGCGACTTGTTTGCTCGTCATTTCAAGCAAGTGTTCCACGATTGCTCCGCTTCGCCAACACAAGTGCTGGACGCTACTGCTGGGATGCCACGTGATGTGTTTAGTTTCGTTATTCCGCGCATTTCAGAAGACATGGTGATAGCCGCAACATGCAAACTGAAGCTCTCGTTCGCCGCCGGACCTGACGGCATTCCGTCATCAGTTCTAAAACGTTGTGTAGCCAATCTCTGCCTTCCACTTGCGAGGCTATTCAATCTCTCGGCACAGCAATGTGGGTTCCCCTACCGCTGGAAACTTTCTTATCTGTTCCCAGTGTACAAAAAAGGAGATAAACGGAATGTCGTAAATTATCGTGGAATCACCTCCCTGTGTGCCTGCTCAAAACTGTTCGAGATTATCATAAATGGTGCACTATTCGCACGCTGCAAAAATTATATCGATACAGAGAAACACGGTTTCTACCCGAAGCGCTCCGTGTCCACGAACCTGGTGCAGTTCACTTCTAACTGTCTGCGATGCATGGATTCAGGATGGCAAGTCGATACTGCGTATATGGATCTAAAAGCTGCATTTGACACGGTGAACCATAATATCTTGCTGGCCAAGCTGGTGATACTTGGCATCTCGTCAACTGCTGTGGATTGCTTCAGATCTTACTTGGTGAATCGCTATGTACATGTCAAGATTGGCGCGTCGGAATCGGATGTTTTCTCAAACAACTCGGGAGTCCCGCAAGGCAGTAACCTAGGACCGCTACTATTTTCGATCTTTTTAAACGATGTCGCCTTGCTGATACCATCAGGATGCCGCGTTTTCTATCAGACGATACGAAAATCTACAAAATTATTAAAAGCCTCTCGGACTGCTGGGATCTCCAGAATATGTTAGGTATTTTTGCTGACTGGTGCTCAAGAAATTTGATGAGTCTAAGCATAGAAAAATGTAACATTATTTCCTATCACCGAAAAATCGAACCAATCATATTTGACTATGTTCTCTACGGACACTGTCTTGCTCGTGTAGAACACATAAAGGATCTCGGCGTTACCTTGGACTGCAGACTCACTTTCAGAATCCACTACAATAACATCATCTCCAGAGTTAATCGACAATTGGGCTTTATTTTCAAAATTGCCGACGAGTTTCGTGACCCGCTATGCCTCAGGTCACTTTACTGCTCGCTTGTGCGATCCTTATTGGAGTCAAGTTTAGTTGTTTGGTGCCCTTTCCATGCTAGCTGGATCACTAGAATTGAATCCGTTCAACGCAAGTTTGTGAGATATGCTCTTCGTTTCCTCAACTGGCGTGACCCAACGAACTTGCCACCGTACGAAGAGCGTTGCCGTCTCCTGGGAATCGAGCCATTAGAGGTGAGACGGACGGTCGCTCAAGCTATTTTCGCTGGAAAGGTGCTTAAGGGTTACATTGACTGTCCAACACTGCTGTCACAACTAAATATGTATGCCCCTGAGAGGTCTCTTCGTCAACGCGACTTTCTGTTTTTGGAACCACGGAGCCGGAATTATACACAACACGAGCCAATTCGAGCAATCAGCCGGCAATTCAACAACTTTTTTATATGTTCGACTTCAATGTATCAGCTGACGTGTTTCGTCATCGACTACTTGGCTTTTCCGTACCGTTGACCGTAACTATTTAGTTTAAGTTTTATTCATTTAGACAATAATTGTCAGATGATTTTTTTAATAAACAATAAACAATAAACAACAATTATGTTTAACAACATTGCAAAAATTCATGTGTGGGACGCATAAAATCAATCAATCTAAATTTTATCAGTGTAGTAATCCAACCTTAAAATTTAATCCGGAAACGTCATACTGCCACCCCTAAGACTGGCATGTAGCACCGGACTCTTTTTAGGTGGAACCTAACTTAAGTAGAACTAATACCCGGTTGTGGCAAATAGCCAGCAATCCGGTTCAAAGGGCCAAAGTTAATCAATCACTTCGCTATATTCCAAGAAGGAAAAAAGTAAGTTCGCAACACCATCCAGCGCAAGTGATCCGATTACCTTCGCATCGGACTTTGCAACCGTTTGTATCGTATTTAAAAACGATCCTCGAAACGGGAACCAAAAAACCCAATCGCAAAAACCTACCATTCCCACCTCTCATCCCGATCCTGAACCCTCCGCGAACAACACAAATCGATTAACGTACCCCATTCTAGTCGAAATTCTACTACTATACACAATGTTTGTTTTGATACGCTATGAAAGTTTGACAGATAAAATGAGGGGTTAGTGGATTTTCCTACACTAATAAAAATTCAATGATTATTTTGATGTGTCTCACATATGATTTTTTGCAATGTGATAAATAAATGATAAATATATAGATATATATGTGTAGGATACATAGTTCTCATGTGTAGACATAAAATTCATATGTAACCACACATACTATTCATTTGACTCATAAATTTCATGTGTACTTCTGAGTGGATTATGTTTATGTGTGGACACAGATAATCATGTGGAATTTTACATGGAAATTCGCCAATAAAAATGTGTCGAATTTTATGAGTGTATGTTTCGAGCGAGGCGATCAACTTCATAAATCAGCTGAATTGTAAATATACACTCAAAAATATTACTAAACAATTTATGATTTAAATTTAATCATTTCATGATTAACGCATGTTTATACATTGATCGGATTACAAAATTATACTAAATCTGAATAACGGCGTTGAATTCGTTCAGAGTTTTCCAAATTACATTGAGAAGTTTCACACGTAATATCAATCACGATGGCACCCACAGTCGCAGTCAAGAAACGGTAAGGATCCGGTAGTAAGTGTTAATTATTCACAGGGAACTGTGAGTCGTGTTGGAAAAACCAAGGAGCTTGAAACAATCAGTCGCGTCTAAATATGTTGGAGGAGTTATAACTGAACGCCTTCCCGATGGCAAATAATAAACATAACATAATAACACCTCTGGGCACAAATTTGAATAGGTGACAATATTTTATTTCGCTTAAAATATTACTGAAAATTCAACAAAATATTTTCCCTCTTGCAAGCGCATCGGTCACGTGGAAATTCGCCAGTCGGACACAGATCATCAGCACCATGGTCCGCAGTTTATTGACTTTGACTCGGAGTTCAACGAGCACTTTATTATAACCATTCTCGATCATCTGGTATTCGTGTCGCTTCTGTACATATTTATTGTAATTTATATCTATGAAAATATATCTTCAGTATTTGAGAATACTTTGTTTACTTTTTTTCTTAATCAGTTACTTGACAAAAACAAAAAAAACGCATCCAAACCAATAAAAAGCTTGTATACATCCTATCAATATCGCGACTTTATACATTTCAGTGTATAAACCATTTTTATACTAAGTACGTATTCTCTCATTTTATACCGATCTATGCGTCGGTCGTGAGATTTGCGATTTAGCGTAGCTTTTATACTATTTAGATTTGAATATTTTCTGAGTGCACACTTCGGAAAATACACAAAAAAAATACGTAAATGCGTACACGCTGAAACTAAAATACCCTGATAAAAATACTCATAAATACCTCGAAAATACGTTGTACACGAAAAATATATTTTATAATGAATTTAATACACTTTAATACAAAAAATACAGAAAACCGAAAAATACATAAATACGAAAAAATACAAAATAAGATTATTTTACCGAAATCTGTGAAATTTTACTGAAATCTCAACAGCTCAACGTTCGGTAAACATGCAGTGCGGTAATTTTTCACAGATTTTCTGTGATTTTTCACAGATATTCGTTGAAGTTACAGGAATACTGTGAAAAATCACCGAACGGTTTACCGAACGTTCAGCTGTTGAGATTTCGGTAAAATAATCTTAGTGTGCTACAAGGCCATAGGGTAAAAGTACAAACATTGACACGCTGCGTCCAACATCGCACCGTTATCGGATAGCACTAGACTTGAGCTAAATTTGCTCTATAGAAACCATCATCAAAATCGTGGATCATAATCAGCTAAATCGATGATCAATCAATGAAATTGCTCTTGGTTTGAAAAAAAACGCGAATAAAGGGTCCCTACACACTAAGATTTTGTTTTCGTGCTCGGTAAATTTTACCGAAATCAGAACAGCTGAACCAAAGAAGAATACTAAGATGAAACAGTCGGAAGAAAAACTTTCTATTTTAGTGTCCTCTTTCACGGTCCCTTTCATCCAATGAATACCCCCCGTATTCATTGGATGAAAGGGACCGTGAAAGAGGACACTAAGGCTCTGAACCATTTGGTGGATTATTTTAACTTTTGGTTAAAATTTGACAGATGGAAAGTTATCGATTAACCCTGCTATCCGAGCATGGTTATTTCTGACAGACAAGAAGTTAAATTTTGACAACTGTGGCTCAAAAACCGGTCGATCGACAGCACGGGGATTTTCGAACATAGAAAATAACTTTCGAAATGTCACTTTTAACCACGAGTTAAATTTAACTCGGCAAATGGTTCACAGCCTAAGGCTGTGAACCATTTGCCGAGTTAAATTTAACTCGTGGTTAAAAGTGACATTTCGAAAGTTATTTTCTATGTTCGAAAATCCCTGTGCTGTCGATCGACCGGTTTTCGAGAAGAACTTAGCCAAGGTTGTCAAAATTTAACTTCTTGTCTGTCAGAAGTAACCACGCTCGGATAGCAGGGTTAATCGATAACTTTCCATCTGTCAAATTTTAACCAAAAGTTAAAATAATGCTCCAAATGGTTCAGAGCCTAAAATAGAAAGTTTTTATTCCGACTGTTTCATCTTAGTATTCTTCTTTGGTTCAGCTAGTACGGGGGGTATGCAAGGTAATTTTGTGGTTTTGCTGCCCCCTCGATAGAGATGAAATATATTATAACTTGATTCAGTTCAAATGGCGGACCCCTTGTTATGACTCACCCCCTAAAAAATGTCAAAACTGGCTTGTAAAAATATAAACATTCAGTTTTCTCCCAGGCAAAAGTGTTCACATTAGCGAAAAGTTTAAAAATTTGCATCCAGTGATTAGCAAAGGCAATGTTTTCCTTCTTCAAAAGCAAGAAACCAAGCCCGGACCACACTCCGGTGGAACCCATTCCGGGACACATCCCCCCGGCTCCCAAGGAGGACGATTTCATTTTCATCGAACGGAAGGGATCCATTCCGTCGCCTTCCTCGTCCGGAGCTAACGAATCACCTTCGCGAGGCGGATTCTATCCCAGCCTACCGGAGGCATCCGGAACGAATCCCGCTACACCAGTGCGTCGACAGCACAGCGAAGACCAGGGCGCTCATCATCATGTGCTGCACGGAGTGCCATTCAAACTTTCGCCCGAACTGGCCAAGGATAGCAACTTGGAAATTACGCAGTACCACGCCAATGAGGTCCTTTCGTTCATCACAAAAACGGCTACCATCCGGCTGGAGTACGATTTCAGCCTCGAGAGAAGTGTGCTGTACGAAGGATAGGCGATAGGGATCTACGCGAAAAGGCTCAACATATACTTCTGTAGGAATGGAGAATTATTGCATCAGCTTTGTGAATTATGCTTTAAATATTTAGGTACAATGCTTGTCGTTACTATTAGCGAATGATTTATATTCTTATCGTATATGTATATTTACAATGACGATTCTGTCGATTGGAAGATGCAACCAATGCCTAATCATCGACTGTGATTGCATGTTGGTTTAAGTTGCACAGTGAAGGACTTGAACAACTAGAACGCTTTAAGAAGCCATACTATATGATTGTCATAAGATATTTCAAATAAACAATACAATATCGATAGTGAATCGGTAGATTGATTGAATCCTTCGATAATTTCCCTATTTCGTTCGATAGAAGATCACTCACTGAATTAGGAAGCGCGCGTGTGCAAGATTTTAGATCATGCGCATTGAACGTCAACCAAAGCCATCAAAACAGACCACCGCAAACTGTCAAGTGTGCAATACAACACAAATAAGGATGGATTGCAGTGGTGCACAGTCGAATAAGGATCCTCAAATAACCATCGACGATCTCCCTAATGAGGTAAACTTGATTTTAATTTGAGTCCTTTAATCTAGAATCAATTTCTCACTAAGGTTTTCGAGCGGATAATTGCCCACCTGAATGTCGAAGACTGCAAAGTTGCATCACTCGTCAACTACAGATGGTTGCAGTTTTCCTTCTCGCGCATAGCCCTCGGGAAGGTGCAACTGGAGATCAACTGTGCCCAACGTTCGCCTCACGACTATTGGAACGTGTTGGAGAAAAGCTCCCGCAGCTATCGTAATCTGGTGCTCAAGTTTGCCGACGATGACGAGGGCTTCCTGCTGAGGGTATTGGACAAGTTCCAGCACAGTTTGGAACGAGTTAGTATCGAACAGGATGCCGAGGCACGATTGCTTCACACGGAAATCTCGTCCACCTATTTCACACGACTGATGCAACAGTTGACTAATGTGAGGCAGCTCACGATCAAGACCATCATTGAACTTTCCGACACCGTCGATGGAGCACAACTGCCACGATTGGAGCGACTAGAAGCGATCTGCTTGTACACACACTGTCTGGAAGGGGATTGGATTGATTGGACGCAAATTTGTCCCAACGTCACATGTGTTGGGGTACCTCTGCAGGATGGCCGCAACGGATTTCCTCACCTTATTCAGCATTTCTCCAATCAGGTTGCAAATTTGTCCATCGACGCACGTTTCCTAGAGCGTGACTCGCTCGACTTTATTGTCCAGGAAGACTTTCCCAAACTGAGAAAATTCCGCTTACTCTACCCAATCAACAGTCCATCAACAGGAAGCCTCATCAAATCGTTCATCGGCCATTGCCCACACCTGACGGAAATCAGTTTGTTCAGCAATACGATCAGCCAGGAAACTCTAGAAACGCTGGCCGAGCATTGCCCGCAGTTGAGCGTCGTAAGTCTCGATACGAATGAGGCCCCACCGACGATCTTCTCCATTCTGTCGAAACTACCCCGACTGAGGCAGCTGATACTGCACAAACTGACCGTCGAACCATCTATGGTCACCTCCTCGAGCGGGTGCTTTCCTTCGCTGCGCCAGTTGACGTGTCTATCGATTCGTATCAACTGCCCGGAAGCGTTTTTCATGCAGCTGCATAAGAAGATGCCCCGGTTGACCGTGCTGGAGCTGTTGGACCGGTTCCGCTTTGGGATTAGCAATTTCAATCAGAACGGGGTCGTGGCTGCCCTCTGCAGCAATATGCCGAATGTACAGCGGCTTGCGCTGGTGGATTGGGTAAGACAGGTGTTTGGTTTCATGGGTCTTCCATGATGTTTACCGCGGGATTTGTTCTTTGCAGGCCATCCTGGATCTGTCGGTCTTGGAGAAACTCAACCTGCTCGAAAATCTTGCTGAATTGAGACTGAAGTGCATCGGCCTAAATCCGAACAAGACCCTTCCTCGCTGTGCAAGCTTGAGGAAATTGGTTCTCGATGTTGACACGGTACGCATGGGGGTTTAATAGCGCTCAAGCTTCTTTGACAAAATTTGATCATAACTGCACTTCCAGCTCAAACCAACGGATGTCATCCCTCCCGTGAGCCGACCGGCATTGGCGGAAATAATCTCCAATGGATTCCCGGAGCTAACGAGCCTAGAACTGCGCAGACAACTCCTGGACAGAACCAAAGCCTCCGAACAGGAGATAGCGACCCTCCAATCGACCCTGCCCGGTTGTGTATTTTATCGCAAAACTCGCCTCCAAATGGCGGACAAAGACTACACAGCTTTGTTCTAATTTTGCATATAGGGATTTCTCTATCAAAAGATTTAAACTTCTTCCCGCGCGAGGTGTAAAGCATCAAGTCTATATGTCAGTAGTTAATCTAAAGTTCATAGTTATCTTCGTACAGTTCCTTGAAATTTAACAATCGCTCCAAGCTCTCTTTGTACTCCTCCTGCTCGAGGCCACTTTCAGCGAAGCGAGGAATTTTTTCGATTTTGATTCGACTTACCTCCCGGTGTAGACTTTCCAAGGTATCCGAAAGATCCCCAGATGACTGAATGGTCGCGAGCGTAGGCGTCGAAATTACTTCTGTGGAAAAAAGAATTAAAGCTCGATTAACCGATCCAAAAAACCCTTGTTTGACGACCCTTACTCTGCTTCACTCCGAGATCGAACTCGCCCAGGAACCCGTCGTAACCGACACGCGTTTGCAGTATCTCATTGGGGAACGGCGTCCGCAGGTCCATCGGTGCACTGCAGGCCGTCACGTGCGACATGCTGGCATGCAGCTGACATTGGTAGTAGAACTGCAGCATCTCGCTAACCGAATCGCACCGATAGGCTGCCATGCGCTGCTGCCGTTGGGCGGACTTTGCCGTTGGAGGCCGTTTCAGTTTGCTCCTAGGGATACCACGGACTGCAACCGATTGGAACAGATACTTTGTCCCAACTGCAACATTTGGCGTCAGCTGAGTGTGGAGTTTCTGTTCGTTCTGATCCAGGAAGTCGATGAGGTCTTCGGTGTTGTTCAATCCGAATGGCATCGCTAACCCCGCGGCGCCCATTTTACGCCCGTAGGGAGTGACGTCAGTGCAAAGACTAGGTAGGTAGTTGCCAGTGGCCGGATTCTTCATTCGGTATCGAAGGGAAACCGTATCCAGGAATGTTGCCAACAAGGCCGATGTGTGGTACAAATTTGATTCCTCGTAAGACACGTGTGGAAAAGTTCTTGGCTGATCCAAAGCTCGCCAACAACGGCCCATTGTGGACAGAGGCACAAACAGCGAGCATGATTCCACTAGATTCGAAAAACATAGCGCCGTATTGACAATCCGCACCGAGCCACTCATAATTTCATCGGCATTTTTAAAATTCAACATCTTCGGCGGTATCAGTGGGAATGCTAAACCCGCCTTCCCATACTCATCTTGCAAATGCTCCAAACACTTCGCACCGATACCCGCAAATCCATCCACGCAATCGAACAACGTTTGAAATCCCTGACAACCGTCGCACTCCTCCACGTACTGCCGTATTCGATCCGTAGCATCATCCTGGAAGTCATAATTTTGCCACAACTCCATCCCATTCGTTATCGTGTCAAACAAATTCTCCTCCTTCGAATGACTGTACTCATTAACCATATTAATACTCCTCGGATGAAATCGCGAATAGCTAAAATCTACCCAATCTTCAACCGTTTCCTTGAAGTTGTAATCCTTCTCTTCCTCATCCTCCTCGTCAGCGATCTGTTGCAAATCCCGTTGATATTCACATTTGACGGCCGGTTCCTTCTTGATAACTTCCACCTTACTCGCCTCCCAGCCAATTTCTTTCGCCACTTCCTCTTCGCCGGCAACATCTTGTGCACTATTGTGACCGCCTCCGCCGCCGTACAATTCACCCTCTTCCGGCATGAATTTCAACGTGCCCTTCAGATCCAGCAGCAGCAGCCGCGGTGTGTAGGTCGTTTGTCGGGTCAGCGTTTTACCCTCCCGATACAGGACATCGTGATCGATCTCGGACGGGTCGGCATTCGGATCGTAGTTGAACGAGGCTTCCTGGATGTTCCACCAGTGCGTTCCGACGTAGTTTGCGTAGTTTCCCAGCTGCAATGTCAGGATTTCGCGGGCCATTTTTCACGCAGATCACTCGGGGAATGTAGCAACGGTAAGGAATAGCGGGGAAATCTTGAAAATCACTAGATTTTACATAGAAAATTAAACGGAACTTTCTCACAGGCTGCTTCCATATAAACGATATAAACAAATGCACGCGCTGTTTTGGGATTTTTTTTACTGCGCGAACCTGAGCGGATCCAAACTTTTTTGACGGATATAAAACTCCCCGACTACACACAAAACTGGAAAACCTTCATATTTTGGGTTTATGGCTATGCTCGAACATTGAAAAGGACCACTTTGTCGAGCAGTTTTGGTGAGGATCGATCATCGAGGAATATTTCAAGCACAACTTTTCAACAAGACGTAGTAGCCGAGGTAGTAGCATTTGATAGGAAATTAGAAACATTGGATAGCAATGTCCACATGAGGTTATTAAATCCTATTTAAAAGTTAATACTTTTATTTTATCTGTTTCTGCTATTACTTGGATATGATGTTTAAGAGAATTATGAAAAATGTAGAGTTTTCGCAACACGGACAAGACTTTTGATAAAACAAAATGATACACCTTTTCCTTATGTATCACACGAGGTATCACATCTTGATTGTTTCATACAATCACGCAGAAAAAACTATCGTCGTAACAAAAATATTTAAGCTAAATTTAAATGTAAACTCAGTTTGTTCTGGCCACAAATATAAATTAGGTTGATTTCAAACGTATTCCATGTTTGAAGTCATGTGAAATCAATGTTTAAAATAAAAATAATGTTACGTTTATTTCAAAAATATTCGTGTTGAAAATAAACGTATTTATTTTTGTTTGGTTTCCCTAATAAAAATTGTATGGTTAATTTGCTTAACGACGTGTTCTGGGTATCATCCAAACCATTTGTGGAATAGTTCAATGATTTGGGTTATCGTTCGTTTATGGTTATTTTTTATTAGGGTTGACAGCTATGCATACATACATATTTTGGAGTTATTTTAGTAGTTGAGTGCAGGGTAAAGCAAAATAAAACGGTTTACAAAGAAATGGGCAGGCATCTTAATTCCTGCTCTGTTTCGGGTGCGATTAAGGGTGACCTGTGGGTATTGGGGTCCTGGTCCGGGATGCGAGGACCCGTCGGGGTGTGTGTCCGGGAGTTCCATTTCAGTGGAACCGGTGCAAATTTGTGTTATTAGCGTCGTTTTGCCGTTTCTGCCTCGGTTTCTGCCACTGGTCCTCATACCGGTTTATTTCCGTGTGCGATATCGGAGGAGGATCCGGAATGGATTCGAAATGGATGACCGTTTTCTGTTGAGGTTGAGCAAAGCTGGGGCAACTTTTTCCGAATGTAACAAGAAGGAAATAAAAAGGCATGACACGCTAAAAACCGTTTACCCAAATCCTATATTGTTGAAATAAACATGCTTTTGAATTTAATTCAAACATAAATATTTTAGTTTTAAACATGCTTTCAATTTACTTTGTATAATTCATATGTTTAGAGTATAAACATTTATATTTTTGTTTTAAATGAACAAAATTCGTATCCGTGAACGATTGTTTTTTTAAACATAGAAAAAAGAGAAAATTTAGCTGTAGTCTATAACCTTTAGTCAATTTATGTTGAATGGGATGCGATGGTACACTTATCAACATATTATCTGCAATCATAAATAATGCTTCACTGCTTTCACTTGATCAGTTACAGTTGAGTCAACAATCAATACGAAACTAACGATTTTAAATTGGCTCACCACTTTAGTAGCCTATTGGTCCCAAGCAAACGATTAACGTACCCTATTCTAGTTGAAATTCTATTACTACACTATGTTTGTTTTGATTCGTTATGAAAGTTTGACAGATAACATCAGGGGTGTGTGGATTCATGCAGAACATGCAGGGGTGAGTGAAATAGCTTGGGACTGCTTGGGACCGTTGTTCTGGTACTGAGTGAGCCAAAAGTAATAATGATTTTCTTCGGGACCCAGTGGTCTTAGAGTTACCTCTATGGTTGAGTCTCGCCTGCTCCATGTTGCCTTCGATAGATGGAGGTCCAAACACTGATAATCTGCAAAAAATCGCATTAAGCCCGGCGAGGGATTCAACCATAGAGGTAACTCTAAGACCAGAAGTTCCCAAAAAAACGTGCTCAACTTTTTGGCTCAGCTCTAGTACTCTCTTCGGTCCCAAGCTAATTGATGCACCCCTCGAAACATAGGAAAATCCGAGGGGGGCGACACATCTAAATCTCAAGTTTGGATGCTCAACAAATCTCACACTAGCGAATCAATCTTCGAAAAATCTTCTTTCATTTGTCGCATCTACTTGCATCGCTCATCATCTTTTTGCAGGAAATCTTCAGAATCGTTATCAATCTTCTTTCTATCTACTCAGCGTGTTGCGCGCTAGCCACAGCAAAACACAATCTTTTCTGCATCGTAGATAGAGTCGTCCCCCTCGGGAAAATCTACGAACCCCTCATCTTATCTGTCAAACTTTCATAGCGAATCAAAATAAACATAGTGTAGTACTAGAATTTTGACTAGAATGGGGTACGTTGATTGATTTGCTTGGGACCAATAGGCTAGTCAAGTAGTGAGTCAATTTAAAATCGGGTTTCCACCGGTTGATTCAACCATCCACAAGTTCAGGATTACGTGGTGAGAATACACAAATCGAACTGGAACACTTTGCGGGTAATTTTTTTTTAACTAATAGATTGTTTGCTCCACACTTTTTGAGCGCAATGTTTTTATGCACTCACGCTATTCTCAAACTACCCAGAAATTAAATCTATCATTAAAAAGGTAAATTTGACAGTGTTTTTGTATAGTTCTCAAATAATTTTCATGCTCAGTTTGTCATCCAAGTGTATCCGCGGCATATGTGCGTGATCACATGTAGAGATGATATGTGCAAGTGAGAATCATGTGTCTGACATATATAGAAACTATACCATGAATCTAATTGGGTTCTTCAAGGGTATAGCCTGGTACGCAGCTGAAAAGTAATGACGTTTTTACGTGCTACGGGATAGGACACGGAATGCTAAAGAAATTACTTTTCCTTAGCATTTCTTGACCTAGTAATGGTAGTATCCATTTGTGGAAATATATATTCATCAGTAGGATCTTTGTCCACCGAATGGGTTTATGTAAGCCAATGAACAATCTGTGTTCTCTCGATCATTAGACACCTCATAATTTATACTCGGGTGCATCTCATGCCAACGACTGCAAATCTCGATGAACATTTCAAATGGTCCTATCTGCTTTGATCGATTCTCTTCATCGACTTTCTCTTTCGCTAATAACTCAGCTGCAAAACCTTTCCCTGTTGTATTTGACGTTTTGGACGCTAGATAAGAACCTCCTTTATCAAACTATGTGGTAGAATTAGCGCGAAATCTGTTTGCATAGCAGTGGTTATGAAAAGAGAAAGTCGATGAAGAGAATCGATCAAAGCAGATAGGACCATTTGAAATGTTCATCGAGAAATCATCGTTTTTTGTAGCTACGTCGATCTTGACCTTTGCATTTTAACATTTTAAATGGCTAAAAAATAGAAATTAGTAATACTATTTCATAGACATAATACAAATATCCACCCATTAACAAGAGTTTTCGATATAACAAAAAAAAGTCAACGACAAACCTCTATACTAGCAACACGTCATAAAAACAAGTGTTACTACGATGAAAATATAATCTTAGTTCAAAATACTTAAAAATACTTACGATACTTACGAGGAATTTAAAAATATTTAATTGATACTAGGTCTAAAGTTTAGAGTGAGATGCCCCTAGATGTTATCTGTCAAACTTTCATAGTGACTCAAAACAAACATAGTGTAGTACTAGAATTTCGAATATAATGGGGTACGCTTTTAGATGTATGTACTTGGGACCAATAGGCTAGTCAAGTAGTGAGCCAATTTAAAATCGTTAGTTGCCACCGGTTGTTAATATCGTGATCAACATGAAGGTGGCGCATTCTGAATGCAATTTCACTTTCCTTGTGGAATAATTGGCTGATCAATTATTCCGTTAGGTAATTTTAACGTTTGTTGTAAAAATGATGTTTTGGATGCTTTTTAACTATAGATACTATAGATTCCATAGATAAGCGGAGGCACAAAAAAGTTGTTTTGGGAGCCATGAAAAATAAATGATCTGACTGGCATCCGTAAAAAAAAGTTCATGCCATCATAGAGCTCTTCGTTGCGTAGTTTTGTTGTGTTTCGTGTGCAAAAGTTCAAAATGAAGTGCAAAGCAAATCTTTGCAACAATGAATCGAGAAATGGTTTGCTTTATATTTCCTTCTTCCGTTTTCCGCGAAATAAATCGGAATGTGGAGTGTAGAATGCGTTTTGTGCTCATAATATTACAATACTTCTCCCTCAAACACCATGATGACGTCATGCTCGTTTGGCAACACTAGTTGACAGTTCGTTTAGCTACATTATACTTTGCCTCCGCTTATCTATGGAAGCTATGGTATCTATAATTTTAACAACATAAAAACTGATAATTGTTGATTTTAAAATTAAACGACACCCCCCTTTGATCTCAAAATTTTGCAAAAAAACATCTCCCTATAGCAGTCAAATTTACTTTTGGGAATATTCTTCATAAATTACTTTTCCGTTTTCTTTTCAGCTGCGTACCACTTTGTAAAGCAGTTTTGGCGTGACTTTCTACCAGTGATTTCACAAAACTGGACCAACTAATTTCTATTTTTTATGAAACGCACAAATGTTGGCGAGTGTTTAGGGGTATTGAGGTAAATACATATTCGTTATCTGCATTAAAAATGGAACCGAATTCCAAAATTTCATCAATTTTGGTACACTGGAAGTATTTTAAATAAGTACGATTACATTAGCAAAAATCACCATGTAAGCGCCCCTTGGTGGGACTTTGTATATGGTAGCGAGCTGTCAACGAATAGATTTAGTGTCAACGATTAAAAATTTAAATCTTAATTTAAAAATCGAGATGAATTTCTACGGGATCGATACAAATATAGTTGTGCTCAGAAAACAAAGCTATATGAGATGATGTATAAAAGTCGGTATATTTTTCAAAGTTAAACAACCCAATTGGGTTCTTTAATTTTGAAAATTATATCTGTTTTTATATATCACCTGAAAGAGCTTCGTTTTTTGAGTACAGTGATATTTTTTTTCGAACCCACACACTTTCATCTCGATTTTTAAATCAAAATTTAAAGCAAAATAATAATTTCACTGTTTGACACTAAACTGACAAACTGACAGCTCGCTCCTATTCAAAGTGAGTTTGAAAAAATATCGCTGTGCTCAGGAAACGAAGCTCTTCCATCAGATGAATGAAAATGAGGCTCCATAATCAACTGCTCGAATGATCATCATCCAAGAAAACAACTCGAAATGTACTGCAGCTTCGCCCAATACTGTTTGACATCACCTGGGGTTGCCAGCGTGCTCTGTTTGATCCCTTCTTCTGTCGTTCTCGCGGTTCCACTCGTAAAATTTCCCTCGTCTTTGGCAAATTGAAAACTTTTCGCGTCGTCTGGCTCGTCATTAATCGAAAGAGCGTTTCATTTTTTCGAATTTAGTGCTTTGCAGTTGTGATTTTTGGACAATTTTGTTGGATTCCCCGTTCGTGAGTGTCGAAAAATGGAGTAATGCTAAAAATATCGCCTGCGAAACCAAGTGAAACACGTCGTCTCGTGGGAAACGAAACGCTCCCGAAGTTGTGGCTGGCAGAACGCGAGTAAGAAGAATAAAAAGTGTGTGTCCCGTTTTATCCCCATCACTACTCTTCTCACTCGACCGACTCTGTCGTGTGTATCGTCGATCGATTAAATTTTGTAGTTTCAGCATTATTTGTTTGTCCGTGGATCCGATTTGCTAATACATTATTTTTCAACACTCTTCCCCCCTGAATCCTGGTGAAGGGTTTCCGGTATGTCTGTGACCTCGATGTTATCCCGCATCAAAGAGTTTCTGGAAGGTCGAAAGCGAAAAAGGTGAGAATCTCTTCCTCTTCCTCAACCTCCAATCTGCAGTGGTACAGATCTACGCATGTACGCTAGACACACACACGCTTACACTTCTGCTACTACTGCTGCCGGTTTCGGTGATCCTCCTCTTCCTCCTCCTAGTCGTCTCCGTGGTCGCTTCGGAGGATTGAATGACCGAACCGGTGAATGTGCACCAAGAAGAAACTGAAAAATTTCCCCTTTTTCCATTTTGACAGCGACGAGCCGTCAGAAGCATCAACAACCACTTTTGCCAAATATCGTCGAATCACGGACGATTTCCCCAAATTCATCTCGACGCCGTTGAGTAATGGTAAGTGCTGGGAAAATGTAGTTTTGGTGTAGTTTTAGAAAAAAACATAAAATTGATTGTTTACACAGTCGGTGTGGGTTGTTGTTGTCCCGAGACGACGGGATTTGGGGACAGAAAATGTCTTCAAGGTAGCGCTAATTGCAAGTAGAGTTTCATTTCGTGGAGCGGAAAAAGGTGGCAAATTTTCTCTTTGCTTTCACTCCCACACAGTCCAGTTTTGCAATTTTGAGCTTGGCGGTTCAGTTCAGTATCGTAGCTTAAAATAGAGCGTATAGGTGACTTATAATATTAGAAAATCCATGAAAATGAGTTCTTAGTAGTGTTGGCACGCTTCCATCAGTTCAATCGGCGACGTGGTTGGTTTCCTTTTAGATGGATTTTATAGCGATGTTAGATTAGTTTTCTTTCAAAGAGGCTTTCAGATGGTTTTTATGTTGAGGAATAGGAAGATTGAACTCTAGTTCCTAGCTGGTTGGCAAAAAATAATATCTGCGAACCTGAGCTAATTGTCAAAGCGGGCCTCGACCCGAGCGAGGTTTCAAAAACTAACGATCCGGTTTATCGGAAAATAATTTTAACGACCTATCCGGGATGAACCTGAATCTATAACCTAGTCGGTACGGCTTAAAACGACATCCGTTCTCCATGATACTTTACCTTACCATTCACGCTAAGATCGTCTTCATTTCATTCGGTTCGTGGCTGGCACGCCGCTAGCCACACTGTCTACGAAAGCTCCGCAGGTCGCCTTCCACCTGGTCGATCAAACTTGCCCGCTGCGCGCCTCTTCGTCTTGTTCACTGAGACAAAAAAACATAAGAATTCCATAAAAACCACTTATGATTGTTCACCATATCGATTTATTATGGAAATCATGAGTTTGACTTATGAAACATAAATTCAACTTATGAAATTTAAAAAGTATTATGAAATTGATGAGCAGATTGGACTCAAGCCTTGAGCGTTCAGATCATTGAGTCCGTGATTTGCGCTCACGTCTATTCAACGTACAGTTTCAAAATCAAAAGTATTTGTAATGATTCAAATACGCGCTTTGACTTGCGTTTTAATCAAGGAAACAAAATGTTGTGAAGTGGCGAAAAACTACATTTCGCTTATTATAACTTTTTTTTCCATTGCTTGCTCAATTTATTAACGGATTCTGAATCTTTAAAGTGTGATAGAAAATGCTGCTATTTGTTTAGCGTAAAAGGATTGATTTTTCATTTGTTCGATTTCTTAAGTCAAAATGAGCCGAAATGTTGAAGTGAAATATTGGCAAAAACAATGGTTTGGTTCCACTAGTAACAATGCCAAAAAATTGCATGTGTCTGTTATGGACTAAACAGTATTCACTGAATTATTTTTACACCAAGATAAGGGATAGTTCATGTATGAAGTACATCAGTTGCAGTTACTAAAATTCAAATTTGATTATTTATAGGCAAAATGTTATTTGGTATACATAGTTAAAAAGATACAGCTGTTTATGTGTGTGCCAAGCTGGTAGCGAGTCACTTTCTAGTGACTTGGTCACTTTTTTCTGCCCGTATATTAATGGAAAGTAACTAAAGTCACTTTTTCTTGTAATCAGTCACTATTTTCAATTTTTTAGCGTGTATTTATTTCAAGATTGATCATTCTTCTTGCAGTGTGTAGGATCTGATAGTCCAATCGATGAATTAGGTTCTGCAGCGTGACGTCACAAATGAACTCAGTGTTAGCCGGCTGAACCTTTTTGACAGTTCAGTGGTACTGTTTACAAGCACTTAGCCGTTTTTTCGAAAAAAAAATTTCTAAAATTTCCGAATTTTAACTTGAAAATTGTCGAGGAACAGTGCGATGAAAGGATGTTGCTCGTGGACACTGCAGAAGTGTGGTTTGCATCTCACTGCAGTCTGAAAAATTATCGAGAAAATCCACCCAAGAAAAAAACGACTAAGTCCACGTAAACAGTACCACTGAACCACAGACAAACAGACATAACACTCGCTAGTTGTTCATCGAACAAGCATTTAACGGTCAATTTAAAAGTATCGTAGTTGGTAGTACCACCACCTGTGGCGCGCATAGTCAAATCCCTTGCGTTTGACGTTTACACACTACCGCCATCTGTTCAGCGTAGTGCCCACCACAGTGTACTCAACAGATGGCGGTAATGTTTTAGCGACGATGTATTACAGTAAGAAATATTCAATGTGTTATGTCTGTTTGTCTGTGACTGAACTGTCATCAGATTGAGGTTAGCCCCGACGGTGCAAAACCTAATACATTTTGTTCTGCACGGCGAATGAGATCGACCCAAATTTGAGTTTAGCTTACTCATAAATCACAAAAACTTAGCGATGAGTAAATTTGCCTCATGTGTTTCCAGGTTTGTCCGGGAACAAATTCCCAAATATGACAAAAGTAAAGATTGGATTCACTCAGTCTGTTGGTACTACTTCTAGACTGAGTAAAATTTTCCTCATTTTCCAGTAGATTTTTGAAGTTATTCACAGAAAAACATGAGGCAATTCACTCATCGCTGAGTTTCTGCACTTTTGGTGATTATGAGTAAACTAAACTCAAATTGGGGTCGTTCTCATTCGCCGTGTGAATTGTCGAAAATTTTGACGTTTAATCGTCTTTCTCTATCCACTTACGGTGAATGAGAACGACTCAAAAAACTACAAGGGACAGCCCTATGGGGTTGTACCAACAATCAATTCGTAACGAACGATTTTAAATTGCCTCACTACTTGACTAGCGTATTGGTCCCAAGCAAATCGTTTAACGTACCCCATTCTAGTATAAATTCCAGTACTACACTATGTTTGTTTTGATTCGCTATGAAAGTTTGACAGTTAAAATAAGGGGTTCGTGGATTTTCCTATGTTTCGAGGGGTGCATCGATTAGTTTGGGACCGAAGATAGTACCAGAGCTGAGCCAAAAATTTGAGCTCGTTTCTTCGGGACCTTCTGGTCTTAGAGTTACCTCTATGGTTGTACCAACCGGTGGATACTAACGATTATAAATTGGCTCACTACTTGACTAGCCTATTGGTTCCAAGCGAATCGATTAACGTACCCCATTCTAGTACTACACTATTTTTGTTTTGATTTGCTATGAAAGTTTGACAGATAAAATAAGGGGGGTTTGTGCAAACGTCCACTACCTGTGTTCCTACCCTACCAGCTGTATGTTATATTGTATCCCTATACACTATCAATAAATATAGTAGTTCATCTGCCTCCGCCATGCCAGAACGGTAACAACCACCAGTGATGCAAAATATCATGACACTCACGTGACACTCGTCTTCGCACCAACCGACTATCGCTGACAGATCGTTTTGTTACGCAGTGAGAGTTAGAGCCATGGCAAACAACAATCACCAGTAATGGTCGCTGCTCACAAGCAAAACGCTACACTAACTGCTGATGATGAAAAGCACAACGAAAACAGTGAAGACTTCTGCAGTACGATCATGAGAAAAAGCGAAACGACAGAAGAAAATGAAAACAATGCCTACGCATTCCAAGTTCGTCTCGGCAGCGCCTGTGAGTTACAAACAAAGCAGGCAACATGAAACGGAAGCTGTTGGGTTCACTCACCAACACACTCAAATAAGTAAAGTAAAGCAGCAACTGCTTCAAAACGAGCACAGATGAGTGTCGTGATTGTCGGGAATGACCAGATCGGTGACGGATCACAACAGAAGATGACATTCACCAGTTGCTTTTTACTTCTTTCGTCAACTTGATGGATGGTCATGGAGAGAGCTTCGACGAGCACATTGATAGGAATGTACAAAGCGTTACTACCATCAGCTGTTTGGCGATCGTGATTGTGATAGGTCGCAACTCTTGACAACGACTGTCTTTTATTCATACATCCGTAAACACATCGTAGGAAAAGTTCTGCCCGTGCGCGATCAGAGGGGTTCGTGGATTTTACTATGTTTCGAGGGGTGCATCGCTTAGCTTGAGACCGAAGATAGTACCAGAGCTGAGCCAAAAAGTTGATTACGTTTCTTCGGGACCTTCTGGTCTAAGAGTTACCTCTAGGGTTGTACCATACACTATAATGGGGTACGTTAATCGATTTTATTGTAACCAATAGGCTAGTCAAGTAGTGAGCCAATTGTGGTTATAGCGTCCAACAGCTCTATTACCGAAACCGAAACCATCAGCAGCGCTGCTGCTCCATAACATAGTTAAGCTCCAATCATGTAACATCAAATGCGGCAAGGTGCGGCGGCCTCTAGTTGTCGTAGCAAGAAACTATTGACAGCGTTTTGATTTGATTGACAAAATTTTTACTTTGTTAAACGTTAGGGGGATGCTCCGGATAAATTCAAATTTGTCTTTGCAGATAAATTCGCTCACAAGTTGATGATTTGGCAAGGCATCTGCAGTTGCGGAAAGAAAACAAAGGTTTTCATCACTGGAGCGACTATGAAAGGACAACTTTACAAGGAGGAGTGCCTCCAGAACATAATTTTGCCGTTCATTCAACCACACGAAGGTCCCGAAAAGTTCTGGCCTGACTTAGCCAGCTGCCATTACAGCCGCTATGTCATAGAATGGTATAAGTAGAATTATGTCGATTTTATTTAGAAAAGTATCAATCCACCAAATTGTCGAGATTTTCGTCCCATTGAAAAAAATTTGGGCAATTATAAAGCGCAAATTGAAGAAATGTGGCAAAACAATCGAAACATCATCTGATTTGGAGAAGTGGTGGAAAAGGATGGTAGGTTGACAGTATTACCAACAATCAATTCGAAACTAACGATTCTAAATTGGCTCACTACTTGACTAGCCTATTTCCCAAGCAAATCGATTAACGTACCCCATTTTATTCGAAATTCTAGTACTACACTATGTTTGTTTTGATTCGCTATGAAAGTTTGACAGATAAAATGAGGGGTTCGTGGATTTTCCAATGTAATACATACATTTCGAGGGGTACATCGATTAGCTTGGGACCAAAGATAGTAAAGGGTGATACGGTC